GCCTTGGTGGCCAGCTGCTTGCGCGGGGCCTTGCCGCCGGTGGACTTGCGCGCCGTCTGCTTCGTGCGAGCCATAGTGTACAGCTAGAAGACCGAATTACAAGTGAGCGCAAGCTAAGAAAGCTCGGTATTTATAACACCCTGCGAGCTCTGATTGGACCGGAGACTGCCTGCTTCTGCTTTTCTCCATGCCATTGGCTCGCATGTGACTCCCTCGCAAAGGAAACTCCACCTCTATATTAAGACGCACGATTATTTTAATACAAACGTCTTCCACGTGTCACAATGATAAAACGTGGGGTTGAACATCTAAAGCGCCTTGCAAGTTGTTAAATGACATTGGGGATTTTGATAAAAACAAGGCTTATACACGAAGTCATGCTTCGGATTCAGAACGACCGGCCGACCGTGCCGGTGCTCCTCAAATCTGAGAGCACGTCAGGACAGCCGGACAACTCGTCTTGGCTGATTACCGTGGTCCTAACCACACACCCAACACCCCAGTAGCATGTAAGTTTGCCCGTCGGCCTAACTTTGCAAGGACTGTGACAAGGCTTCAAAATTCAGGTTTCCGCCAACATAGCGAAAACTGGAGGGACGATAGCGGTTGGCGCTGATAACTAAAGGACCCTTTATAAGTTCACCCGCGAAAAGTCGGAACAGAACCGTACAAAGTGGAACACTCCCGTGTGCCTGCGGCCGGCCGCGGTTGCGCAGCCATGGGACCCCAGTGCCGAGCGCGCACTCTGGTCCGTGGCGGGGCCCGCCCTGCACACTGCGGGACTGGGGGCGCCTGAGACGTGTTGTAGCGTCTCACGGCGGGGCGCGCAGTTGTCCCGCTACTCCACAGCCCTGGCGCGCCGGAACGTGATGGTCCTACAAGGAAGCCCGAGCACTGCAAAGTACAGCAGCGCTTTATGTCCCATCTCGGACCTGATGTTCTCCATCCTTTAGCGAACCGTCAAGGGGCGCCCCCGAATTTGAAGGAAAAATGGCTTCAGTGATACGAAACCCCTACCTTTGCGGCTCCTGTTTCAGGGTGCTTTTGGTCAGGTCCGGGTCTTCGTGGCTCCTGGGCTGCGTCTCAAAGGTCGCCCGGGCGAGCGCAGCGATTTGGGCCCTGCGCCAGGTGATGCTTTTTCGTGCCTAATACGGGCTTTGGTTTCCCTGTGGCTTTCCGCGTTTTTCTGCAATTTGATTCTGTTCCCTGTTCTTTCCCTGGTAACTCTTTCCCTTCACTCACTCGCCACATTTGTGGGCAGGAGCGACTTTTAACACTGTTTTTCACCCTGCTTAAAAACACTGGGCAGCTGAGCGAGGCAGGCTTTCCCCTGCGGGCGCCAGAGTTTACTCCAGGATACCGTGTCGCCTAAGACTCCGGCGGCCGCGCTCGCTCACCCCCTCCGCTAGGCCACCTCTTGGCTTCCTCGTCATGCCTGGGGTGGTTTTTCTCGCCCACTCCCTTCTCGCACCCTGCAAGCCAGAACTGTTCACCTCTGTGTTTCCGGTCTGTTGATTACTGGACAAATGTCTGCTCCTCGAGGAGACGCTCTGCCCAAGTGCACCCAAAGCCCGTGGGCTGTTTGCCTGCAAGCCCGCGTTCCTGGAATCCGCCGGCTCAGGGAGCTTCCACCCGGCCTCTTTGGGTGGTCCTGGCCTTCTGTCGGCCGGTGGAATACTCTCAGCAGTCCTCTTCACTTGCAGCTAATACAAACCCACAGCAGCCGGCCTCATTAAATGTGTCCTGTGTTATTTTTAAATGAAAATCTCAAGATGAACTTGAATCACTAAGAAGTCTTGCGAGCCCCTTCTGATGCAGGAAACCAAGGGGAAAAGCAGCGTCTTCCCCCAGGGCTTAGCTGGTGGCTGGACCTACAAATCAAACTGGCAAAGGCTTCCATTAACGGTGGAGACTTTCTTAACTATGCATAGCGTAAAAAATAAATAAATATGCATAGGGTAGGCCTTGTCCAAAGGGGTGAAACCTGGAAAGGATTGCATTCCTGGGAACATTACACAAATCCAGTTAAGTAAGGAGCAGGCCTGGAGCCCTTCAGGGCTGGCTTTACACCGAAAATTGTCCTTTATAAGTAGTTTTACAATTTCTCTGTCTGCTTTTTCTCAAAATTGTTCTTATACCCAAGTGACTTATTCTGGGGTGGAATCTTCTGCTCTCCTGTATAACAAACTCGGGAAGGTCTCTGGATCAATGTCTTGGGGGTATCTACATGGTTGGGGTT